CCCTTATGTAGATATAGGGGTTATATTTTGGGGTTATATTGAGGATAATGGAAAAGAAAATGGAAACTACTGTTTTGGGTTAGGGTTTGGGGCTTAGGGTCCTAATACCTCATCTCAAAAAAACAACCTCAACCCTAAACCCTAAACCTCATTATCCCTACAAAGGCTAAAGTCGAAATCCCTGTTTCTGCATGATGGCAACTTAACCCTACACCCTAATGCACCCTTTTAACCCCCTTATAGTCCCTAGATGACCCCTACACAATCCCTATAGCTTATAATCCTCACCATAAACCCATCATACTGCAGTGGTTTCCATTCTCTTTTCCACTACTACAGCCCGAAACCCTGAGCACCTAAATCCCTAAACCCTAAACCAAAACCCCTAAGCCCTTAATGGTTTCCGTTCTCTTTGCCACTAGCTGAGCCCCCAGAAATAAGCAAAATAACGGCCTGAAACCTCTAAAAATGGCTATTCCTCTACAAATTTTTGGGGACCTTAAACCCTAATTAATCCCTAAACCCTAAATCCCTAAACCCTACACCCTAAATCCCCAATCCCTTAACCATAAATGCATAAACCCTACATCCTTAAACCCTTAAACCTTACTATTCTACATACTTTTGGGGTTTACCCGTGACCCCAATAACCTACAGTTTTATGGGTTATGCCTACTAATTAAGGGGGAACTACAATTAAACTGTAGGTACTTGGGGTCCCCTAAGCCCTAAACCCTAGCGAACCCTAAACCCTAAACCCCAAACCTCATTATTCCACATACTTTTGGGGTTTAGGTATGTGCCGAGGCTCAGAGGAGGCTCCGCCTGCGGAAGATCGCGGCGGCCTTCAGGGCCATCGAGGCGGCAGGCACCGGGGCCGCTGAGGGCGTTGGGGAGGTTTTAAACTCTTTGGGGTTTGAGGTTTAAGGTTTACAGGGTTTAAGGATTGAGGGTTTAGAGTTTAAGGATTCTGGGGTTTGGGGTTGAGGGCTTAGAGTTTAGAGATTCTGGGATTGAGGGTCTGGGATTTCGGGTTCAGGGGTTCTGGGATTGGGGTTGGGGTTGGGGGTTCGGGGGGTGACCCCAATATAGACCCCAATAGAGCAGTCCTTTTTACGGGGACCCCCCAAAAAAGTACCCCTAATTGTAGGAAACTCCCATGTCGCGGATGTTGGAGGCTTATGCAGGGAACAGGGGAGCGACTTGCAGGCTTTGTACGCACTACACCTTCAACACTCCATAAATTTATAGCCTTGCCTTAAAGCGCAGGCAAATATAGTACATTGGGGTTATATAGGGGTTATATTGGGATAATGGAAAATAAAGTGGAAACTACTATATAGTATATTGGGGTTATATAGGGTAGGCAAATATTTGGGAATTTAGGAGTCCTGGGAAGTGCCCATAGTGTCCATTAGGAGCTGGCCATGTTCATAGTCTAGCATGAGTATCGCAGTCGTATCACATGCCCCTTGAGGAGCCATACTAACAGAAGTAGCAATGCTGTCCAACAGTAACAGGCAAGATGGAATTGAAAGTTTGAGTGGTAACAGAAGTAGCAATGCTGTCCAATATAACAGGCAAGATGGAATCGAAAGTTTGAGTCAGAATTGGCAACCTTTGTGACATCAATATACCTTCCTCTGGCTGAGTCGCCTGCAACCTGAGCCCTTGAACCCCAAGCGCGAACCTGAATCCCAATCCCTGAACCCTAAACACCTTACATCTTGATACCCAAGCCCTGATGCCCTAAACTCGGACACCCCCCCCCCCACCTAAATCCGCCTTCCCTAAACCAGAACCCCTACAGCCCCTAAATCCCAACCTCCTGAACCTTACATATGAATCCTTAAGCACTGGCTCTCACAACCTGTCCTAACCTCTGAACCTCAATTTCTACATCCCCCTAAAGCATAGATTCCTAGATTCCTAAACCCTAACCCTAATCCTTCTATCCCAAACTGCGCGGGTCCTATTTTATCATGCTTGGATCTCAAAGCCTAACCTTAGTCCCAGCCCTTTATCCCACACTCTACACACCATACACCTTACGTAAATTCCAAACCCTAGCAGAACCCTAAACCCTGCACCCCAAATTCTACACCTTTAAGCCCTAAAACTTAACTCCTGAACCCCAAACCGTAAACCATGGTAACATCCCCGCATGCATCATATTGTATCCATTAAAGCTTGAGCCCTACGCCAACCCTAAACCCCAACCCGTCAGCGCCAGGTGCGGGCCTACGCGTGGCCAGCGAAAAGTCGGCTGCGTGGCCGGCGGCCCAGGAGGCGCCATGGACTGGGAGTTGCCTTTGTTGGGGGTTTAGGGTTTAGGGTTTTGGGTACCTGTTTTAGGGTAGTATACGGTCTAGGGTTTAGGGCATGGGTAACTTTCTTTACAGAAATGGTGGGGGCTTAGGGGTCAGGGCTTAGGTTATAGGATTTAGGGTTTAGGAGAACCCAATGGAACATGGAATGGAAACTTGGATTTTGTCCTGGCTCTGTCACTCTGCATGTGGGGCCATGAAGTTGCTCCCCAATGGAGAGTAAGATCAACATCTTGTTTGCGTTAGAGTATCTCAGAAGAAGAAGAAGAAGATGTATAATGTATAATCCTTCTTAACTTTTGGTCGACCGCCGAAAGATACTACCCACTTCAGATCGCTAGAGCTGACGTGCCTGAGGATGTCGGGGTTTCGTTAAAAGATTTAGGGTGGGCTGAGGTTACCTAGTAACCACCAGTAGGTCAAGCAGCAGTAAGTCAACCCTAACCCCAAAACCTATAGTGCCCCTTAATTAGATAGAATATGGCTTTGGGCATATTGTAATGAGACCCCCATATTCTATCTACTTAAGGGGGACTTTTATCCCTAAACCCTAAATCGTAGTTTCCATTTTGTTTTCGATTATTATCCCAGTATAACCCCAATATAACTACCTAAGGGGGACTATCAACCCTAAACCCTAAACCCCATATAACCCCATTGTAGTAGTTTGCATCTTTTTTTCAATATCCCTATAACCTAGTCAGCCTAAACCCTAAACCCTATACCCTAAGTCCTAAGCCGTAAGTTAAGCAGCAGAAAGCAACTTTGTGCTGCCAGGCCCCGCAGAGCAACGACGATCTCCAGCTTACGGAGATCGGGGCTGCTCCCAAGGCAGGAGCTTTTTGCTGGTTTAGGGTGTAGGGTTCAGGGTTCAGGGCTTCAGGGCTTAGGGATTGGGCTTCAGGGTTTAGGGTTCAGGGTTCAGGGCTTCAGAGCTTAGGGATTGGGCTTTAGGGTCTAGGGTTCGGGGTTTAGGCTTCAGGGCTTAGGGGTTGGGGTTTAGGGTTCGGGGTTTAGGCTTCAGGGCTTAGGGATTGGGGTTTAGGGTTTAGGGTTCGGGGTTTAGGCTTCAGGGCTTAGGGATTGGGGTTTGGGGTTCAGGGTTCGGGATTTAGGCTTCAGGGCTTAGGGATTGGGGTTTAGGGTGTAGGGTTCGGGGTTTAGGCTTCAGGGCTTAGGGATTGGGGTTTGGGGTTCAGGGTTCGGGATTTAGGGTTCAGGGCTTAGGGGTTGGGGTTTAGGGTTCGGGATTTAGGGTTCGGGGTTGAGGGTTTAGAGTTTAGGCTTTAGGGGTTGGTAGGGAGTACAGTATATCAGGACTATTTGGGATTATTTTCCTTCGTTTGCTGCTAAAAGCCAGGAAAGCTTGTTATACATTTTAGGATGTCACGAGAGAAGACAATAAGAAAAAAGAAAGGTGAGTTAGGAACTTAAACATAATGTAGTCACATTTCACAAGAGTGTATGGCCTTTAATTCGATTATGATTGGAACCTCTTGAGCCAAACCCAGTAAAATCCATGAGAGGATCTTTGCTCACCTGGGGATGATAATACCGCCTGTGGGATTATGGACGAGGTAATCGGCCATTCCTATACAGGTTTTGGTAATGGGGAAGTAAAATGGATGTTTGGCGGACTTGTAGTAGGGAGTATAGGAATGGTCCTCTAATCTGGATGAGGTAAGCGGTTATTCCTATGCTGGTTGAGGTAATGGGGAAGTAGTAGTGATATATTGGGTGAGATATAGGGGGGAATACAGGAATAGTCTTCCAATGGGTAGGCTGGTGGGATTTTCCAAAATGGGCAAGGGCTCCGCTCATTTACTAGATTCCCCAAGGTAAAGAAATATTAAACAGGCTGCTGACCCCCAGTGTCCTAATGCGGAATTCCTTATAACAGGGAGAACACGATCGTTTTCGTCTTAGTCATCGTAGGCCAGGTTCAGTGCAATGCTATGTCTTCTAGAGCATGATTCCGTAGTTTCCTACATAAATTCAGGATCATCGGCAAAAGTATTCGAGTAGGATGTGTGAAAATACTGTCAGCTCCCACAGGGATTCGCACTTCAAGGCACAAGAGCTACGCGTAGGACAAGGTTCCGTGTCGTGGTCTGTGTGTAGTAGTCATCACCATGACACTCTTGACACCTTCCCCCAAGTAAATATCAATCACCGCAGGCCTTCGCTTCTGTGCATTGCCATCAGTTTGATGTTGCAAACGCACCACAATTGCCTTCTGTGCAATGTGAAGGGAAGTCCTGGCATGTCCTGTCACTTCCCATTTCCAGTTGTCTCTAACATTGCCATTCGCAAAGGTTCCATGTAGGTATATTGTACAGACTTAGGGCCCAAAGGGGTTCCCATATACCTATCTTAAGGCCTAAGTATATACCAAATAGCTGCATGGGAGCCCTTTGGGATTGTTGTTGTGCCTAACTTTACTGCTAGCAAAGAGAGAGGCATGGCTTGCGCATAAGCCCCTTCCTACTATTATTATTACTATGTGTTTTTACATTGCTGCTATTTCTGCTTTTACTGTCATTATTACTATTACCATTACAATTACTGAACACATCTTCAGCCGCTGAGAATCAGACTTCGCTACTGAAGAGGATTGGTACCCCGTAGGGGCATAGCCAGTGCATAGAGCAGCGAGGTCTTGTCCACGGCTTGATGAAGATATCGTGGTGGCTGAAATGCTTTCTGCTTCCCTTGAGCAGTGTTGTCTGCAAAGAGTGCGAGGGTCCGCGGCACGCGCTGGAGTTTGAGCAGAAGGTTATCCGGGGCAAAGGTGGGCGATCAAGAATGCCATCAACTTCGGATGGTTAGCAGTGAATGAAGTTAAGGGCTGAGTTACACAGACCAACAGTGTTACGTAAAGACCTCCACAGGGATCATCTCCTCCCCTGCTCAGTAGCCACCAGTACTCAATGCCTCCTCCGAGCTGGAAAGCGATCCTGTGAAGGATATGAGAAGAGCATGCCGCCAAACTTTGCCTCAAAGGCTGACCCTGTGGATGTTCAAGTTCAGTTTTACTTTGCCAGTTTTGACGGTGTGGATGAGCAGCACGAGTCAGTGAGCGTTACTGGATATTTGAGAACTTGGTGGATGGACCCCAGGCTAGCTTTTGCTACGAACTCGACAGATTCCTGCGTGGAAGCGCTTACGGTCCCGGGCGATATGCCGTGGATTCCGAAGTTACATATCTACAACTCCATCAAGTTGCTTGCCTGTACGGTGGCCTGTGCAGAGGGCGAGGTTGGGGTTCCCATTGATGGTTTAGGAAACCTGCTTTTGGGTACTGTAAAGAACGCCAAAGACACACCAAAAGGTTGGTAGTAGTCATTGCGCGTGCGGTAGAGGTTCGTCTCAAAGAGGCGCTCTTTCCGCACTGCTGGCACCAATCCTTAGCTCACACCAAAAGGTTGACAGTGCAAACAACTTTGTTATGAAACCCATAATTCTATTAACAAGAATGGTAGTAATATTCTTACTCGCTGACCCCGGCGATCGCCGTCAAAACAGCACCCGGATTATTCGCTGCCGTTCTTAGCACAAGAAGCTGCTTCTTGGTTGGGTTAGGAAGGGGGGTGGGCACGGGGGTGGGCTGGGGTGGGCTGGGGTTGGCTGGGGGGACAGTGACGTACCGGATGGACAGCACCATGTGCATCGGCACACAATGTCAAAGTTAGGATTCAGAACTTGCAGTTTGGAAATATGGAGTTGTAACGCACAACTATGATGTTGACGTGTTGGGCTAGTCACGTTTTCAGAAGGAGGGGGAGATTGTAGCGCCTCATCATGCTGCCTTTGCGCGATGTGAAAGATGGGTTGGCTCTCATCATATGTTTCTGCTTCGAGGGTTCACTCCCTGTACAGTACATTATGCTGCAACCTTGCACAGAAGTTGTGACCTGCAATTTGTGGTGCTTGTCATTGCTTGCCGTTTGTTTTAAAAAGCAAGCTGGTTCCAGAAGTGACGTGGATGCGTTCCCGTGTCCGTGCTTCAACCCGAAGTCAAGCCAGTGGCTGTGACAAAATCAATTCGCAGCAGGAAGCTGTACTTTCCTGAACATTATATCTTGAGAGCCACCCCCAGAAAAAATCGGGGTTCTCGCGCGTAGGACACCTCGGTATCCCGAAAAGTTTAGGTTTCCATGTGCCCGAAATCACGCGCGCGCCAGCGTTTTGTCGATGGGCGGCGGCAAACCTAGGGTTCTGGGCGTATTCTTAAGAACAGGTATGGGACTAGTAGGTTTAGGGTTTAGGGTTTAGGGGTAGTAGTAATCGCAGTAGACACCCGAGGTTGACCTTCGAGAAGGATGGAGCTCTTACCACAGTGCACTCTAATGGTACAATTTTTCACTCTGTGGCTGTGCATGGAAGTCTGAAATGCGCAATGCAGTTCCACCGCATCTGTTATCTCCTTAGGAACATTTTTGTATTTTTAGTACGGTGTAACCTGCCGGAATTATGAAACACACTGATGTTGTTATTATTGGTTATGGTTTTCTATTTTGTTGTCGTTCTGTGTTCTTTTCTCATCTAGGTCTAGGGGGATTACAGGCATGCCCTATGACTCTCACGGCTGCTTCATCAAGCTGGGGTGTTACTCTGAGACCACACGCTCGATCCGCATCCGACCACGACATGGATCACCTGAGAAGTACATGAACTCGATTCTGGGGTCTGTTGCAGAACAGCTGGATTGGAGTTTAGGGCTTAGGATTTAGGATCTAGGGACAACTGAGTTGCTGCTGCGGAAGTTACTTGTAGGTTGAATTACCAGGACGTAAGAATAATATGTAGAAAGCCCGCTTAGTTTACTCTACACCTACATTGTTGCAACGAAGCCTCGGCTCCCCAAAAGCCACCCAGGCAACATCCCGTAGTTCATCCCAAGAACCCTTACCTGGTCGCTGTATGGCTACCTGAGCTTTAGTCTATACTCCTAGTATCCCCCTCTATAACTTCTATAATATTCCCTTATATCATCCCCTATACCCCCTTTAAGGAGTTTACACTACAGCTCACATGAGACAGCAAGGAGTTGATGGCCCCTAAACGTCCAACCCTCAATCCTAAAGCTCGAATCCTAAAGCTTGAACTTCGAACCTTGAATAGTATATTATAGTATATTGTAGTAGACTATAGTATATTATAGTATATTGTAGTATATTATAGTATATTATAGTATATTAATCTAATGCCTTAAACCTCAAACCTTTACCAAACTTCAAACACGAACCCCTAAGCCCAGCCAAGGACGGGTGTGGCTGTAGTTGGAGACAGGATGTACTCGCCAACCTGGTTCATAGAGGGCGAGCAGCAGATCCTGAATCCCGGCATCCGCACTGCGCATTATTGGCCAGATCTGGGAGGCTACACCGACATTATCTTCCTTCCTTTTCAGTTTTCCCGCCGCCCAGGCTACCTTACGCGAATGGTGCTGGTGCCTGGGCTCTTGTGGAAAGCCAGGTGAATTAGAAGGTGTGAGAGGGCTGAAATGGCTCCAAAGGCTGTTGGCCAGGTGTTTAGCTTGTATTGGTTATCTGGGTTGCTATTAAGGAACTTAAGTTAAGGTACTCTATTGGGGAAATCCTGTTATTTACGGATACCCATTATGGTAACTTAGTTTAAGTTCCTTAGCAGCAACCCAGTATAACTAGGTGTGCTTCAGAAGGTCAGCAGCAGAGCCTGTCCATACCTAACAGTAAAGGACGCTTTGTATCCCGATCCTCCATAATCTGGGTTGCTGCTCAGGAATTCAAACTAGGTTACCACAATTTGGGTATATAGTGAATAATAGGTTTGGGTTATTACAGTCACCCTAAAGCCCAGATCCCCTATTATATCCTCATTATAGTCACTTAGCTTAAGTTCCTCAACGACAACCCAGTACTTGGCGCCAAGGTACCCTCCTGGCTGTTCCTGATCGTCAGCTACACGGGCTTCTTCATTGACCCTAAGTTTCTTGCAGCGGTTTAGGGTTTAGGCGTACAGTGTTGAGCCATTTGTGGAACCCCTAGAGCCCTAGAATCATTTGGCAATGCCAACATATCTCTTCAGACTCTAGCTTAAACTGGACCTAAAGAACACATGTACACCCAATAACCTAAAACTAAACCCCAGCTCCGAAGGGATCCAAGTGTACAAATTTGGCGCTAAAGTCTGCAAATATTACCGAAATTGGCTGTTTAGATCGCTAGGGTTACGCTATCAACCTAGGTACCTCAGTATTACCCTTTTGCCCTTTTTATTTCGGGTCTCGTTATTAAAGCTGAACAGTAGGAAAAAGGGTACCTTTATTATTAATGCGTGACTGGGGAACCCAGTAACCCTCAACCCTAAACCCTACACCCTAAACCCTAAACCCTGAACCCTACACCCTAAACCCTAAACCCCAAACTCTACACCCAAAACCCTAAACCCTAAACCCTATCAAACGCTGAACAGGGCGGCGCCTGCCAGGGCCGCGGTGGCCTTGCTCCCCATCCTGATCATGCGCTCACTGCAAGGCTTCGTCTTCTCCAAGATTCCTGAGGCCTAGAGTTTAGTGTTTAAGGTTGAGGGTTTAGGGTTTCGGTTTCAAGGTTTAGGGTTTAAGGTTTAGGGTTCAGGGTTTAGGGTTTAGGGTTGAGGGTTCAAGGTTAGGGTTTAGGGTTTAGGGTGAGTTTAGGGTTGCAGGTTCGGGGTGTAGGGCTCGGGGCATTGGGTGTAGGGCTCGGGATTCAGGAAGTTTCTCAAAGTTGGGGCCTATGCCCCCAAAATCTGGCTTTTCAGAAACGCCTAGGTTGCAACGTGCGTTTGGCTCATTGACTACCTGCTGAGCTCCATGATCATGTGCTGCTATGCCGCTGTGCACCTAGCAATTGTGCAGCTGATCTTGAATCTGGATTGCAGTTAAGGAGATTAAGCCTATAGTTACCATAGCAGGGAAAGCCGAATATTTTCTACATACACACATTAAGTGCTATAGCTCCATATCGTTGTAAGTTGCTTTGCTGGGTTGTTTTTTTGAGGAACTTAAGTCAAGTAACCATATAAATGGTATATGGTGTATAATGGGGTTTCCCTGTTATAGTAACCCCAAAATCCTAAATACCTTATATACCCTTATCATAGCAGCTTAATCAAAGTTCTTCAACAGCAACCTAAACCCTAAACCAACCCTAAACCCTAAACCCTAAACCCTAAAACCCTAAACCAACCCTAAACCCTAAACCCTAAACCCACCCTAAACCCTAAACCAACCCTAAACCCTAAACCCACCCTAAACCCTAAACCCCTAAACCCTTGTTGAGCATCCCAGGAATTGGGAAGATAAGGCCGACAAAAATCAGGACCGGCTCAGGAAGGTTTCTGGCCTTCTGTTAAGGAGCCCTATGGTTTAGGGCTTGGGGTTTAGGGTTTAGGGTATGGGGGGGTTTTAGGGTTTAGTCCTATTTTTTTAGGGCTTGGGGTTTAGGGCTTAGGGTTTAGGGTTTGGGGAGTCCTCGGGATATTACCCCCCATAATGGAGAATCAAATGGAAAAGAAAATGGAAAATGGACTGGAAACTG